ATCAGTGTGGCCTCAGGGGCGGGTTGCATGGCCCCGGCCCTGCCCAACCCCAACTTAAGCTTAAGCCCCACTGCAAGTCCAGCCCGAGAAAAGAAAGAGCCGGGAACTCCAGAACCATCAGAAGAGACCTGCAGTGGAGAAGGGAGTGGAGCCTGAGGAGAACAACTTTTTTAAAAAACACCAAGGTCGGTTGAAGGAAAGAAAGGAGAGGGAGGACATAGAGCACAGGTTTCCCCATTGCAACACGTGGCGAGAGCCGGGTCGACTGACCTGCAGCCCGTTGAGTTCACTGGTGAGGCAGGGCCACATGAGCAGGTGGCTGCCTCTGAAGAAGCCGTGACTCCGGGCAGTGTGTGCTGGAGCAGTTTGTGTGTGAGGGAACTGCAGTTGTGGGCAGACCCACATTTGCTTGGGCTGAAGCAGTTTTGTGCATGAGGGAAACTGCAGCTGTGGGCAGACCCGTATTGGACTTTTGAGGACTTTTTCTCCTGTGGAAAGGGCACCATGTGGAAGGAGAGAGAGAGAGGCTGGACAGAGTCCTCCCTACCATGAGGAGCACATGGCGCAACAGTGACTGCAACCCCCACTCCCATCCTCCTGTGCCTCAAGGCAAAGTGGGAGGGGGTGGAGGTGAAGGAACCAGGAACAAAACAGAGCCCGGGAAGAAGGGAGGGGTGGGTGAAACGTGTTTTGACTTTAAGATCTGGTTGTATCTCACATTGTTCTACTCTGATGTTGGTAATGAATTAAAATTGTGTTGGTTTTTATTTCCTTTTGATGGGTCTGTCTTTTGCCCGTGACCTTTTTAAGCGGTGAGAAGCCTTCCCAGTCCTTATATTGGCTAGCCCTTTTTCTGGGGCATCATGGTGCTCAGTTACGCACTGGGCCTAAACCACGGCATAGAGATTATAAACAATCAGGCTTTCTTAATTATTAATAGATTCTGAAAGCATATTTTAAGGCTATATTTAGCAAAGCACTTACCTTCGTAACCTCAGGTGTGTGGTCCTGATAGTCAGCAATGCTTATTTATTTTTAAGCATTGTTCTCCATCACTATTTCATTGTATGATATCCTTTTTCAAGCTTATCTTTCTTTTTTAATAATAATTTTTATATTTTATGGAAAGGTGCATCTGACTTCAAAAGGTGTAATGAGCATTGCCATAACATTCCCATGACAAAGCATTTCCAGTGCTTTCACTCAGTGTGGTCTTTTGGTAAGAGTGGAACCTCACTCAACAATCCGCAACTTGTTTGAGCTTTGTAAAAATTTAGTAGTACGTACTTATGTCAAATAGAAAATCAACGCTTAATTAGCATCTGCAGATGTAATATGTAGAATGAAGGACTTAATTCCTGGTTGGACAGTAAATGGAGGAGAAAAAGCAGCAGCAGATGAAGAACAGTGGTTAACTAGACCGGCTAAAGACCTCCCTGTGCAATATCCCTCTCAGCAAATAAACATTAAATGGCATTGTTTCATTTAAAGCATTTTTTTTGTCTTTTTTCATGTAAATAATGCACTACAAAATAAAGTATTTTCAAATAAATATAAAATCTTGAATAAGATTTTTAAAGGCTTAATACATCCTTGGTTTTAGGCTGAATATTAACAGGTTATCATTTTTATTGTTAGTTGTTCACTGAGGCAGTGTGGCTTAGGGAGCAGAGCTGCAGGGAAAGCTGCAGCTGCTCTCTGAGCTTGAAGTGGAGCTTCTTTATGTTATTTATTCATATCAGCTAGATCTTGTTTCCTAATGAGAAGAATGAGTTCTGTAAGTGAACTTTGCAAAGGTTCTGTTAGAATTTCTCAGAGTTCTTCATTGTTAATTAGTGTTTAACTGTCTTGAATGACTGTTTTAGCAGCCTAGAATTGAAAGCAGCTATGACTTGTGCAGCTATGTATTAAAGAGATTTAAAGCTACCTTAAACTGTACTTATACTTTAACTCTTGGCTTCATTTGTGTACCATAGTCTTTGTACTGAATTTTCAGGCACATTCACTAACAAGGCAAATCTTAACTGATTTTTAAAAGCAGTTTTCACTCTTGAACAGCTCAATGGAATGAGTTAATCCAGTCAGGAAGGAGAGATGAGCAGTCTGCTTGACCATACTTGAGACAGCAAACTCTGACTCAACCCTTTGAATTTTCCAGGGAAAAATCTTAACTTTACAAATACTAATGTGATTAAGTATCTCGTATGAGAGATGAAATTTCACATGCAAACTGGAATATTAAAAACTGTATTTGTATTAAATTTTTATGTCTCTAATTTTCTTTTAAATGTTACAAAGGACCTAGGCTTTAGTAATTGCTAAGTTGTAATCTTGGTCCTCCATCTGTCCATTTTTAGAGTTAATGTGGCCAGAGTCCAGATGGGCTTTGGTTTTCCTTACTTCTGAAACAAGGTGCACTGTTTTGCTTGCTTCCTTCTTTGGAAGACTTGCTTACAGAGGTGCCACAGTCATCTCTAGCACTTTGGCATGCAAAATGGCTTATATGGTGCTTTCTCCAAACCTGGATTTTTCTGTCCATGTTCTGTGCAGCTTCTAGATTTTTCTTTATAGCAATTTATGCTCTTTTGTCCTTTGTGCTAATGACTAGTTAAGACCAGCTGTGAAGTACTGCATGCCTGTCCATAGGGTCAAGGCATTTCCTGCCAGATCATTGCAGCCCACCAGCAAGTGGTCAGCCTGGTTTCCCGTTCCTTGTTTGTGTTGCTGCCATTGGTACAGAGATCTTACTTGGACTCTGTAGTCCTTTGTCTTGTCCTATCCTCCATATTCCTCTGTCCCATCTTATTTTTAAATTCTTTGCAGCACGTGAGAAGATTGCTAAGGCTGTCTTTGAGTCCCAGCACTTTTCCTCTGGCTATTTGCAACTGCTTTATGATTGTTTAGGTACCTTTCTGCTTTGCTTCCTGTGACCTATAATTTAATGAAGATTATACTTTTTCCTCTGTTGGTTTTTTTTTTTGGTGACTGACAGCAAGAGCTATGAATTCTTGCTCAAAAGCTTCCAGTCATTGGTTCCTTGCTTATAATGACATGCCTGGTTTGGTGTTCTTTGTTATGCCTGTCTTTGCTCTGTTGAGCTATAGGAAAATGCGTTACGGGAAGAGAAACCATGAATCTTTATCCCATCAGTTCAATCTCTGCTGCACCCTGAGGAGTCTTTTGCAATGAGTGGAACTGCTGAGCAGAAGTGCCATCCTCTTGGTTAGATTTTTATCCATTAGTTTCTTTGACCTCTGATGCCTTTGGGGGTGTCCAGCTTCAGACATTTGTAGCTCATCCTCATTAATACTGCATCATTTGAATTTTGATGTGGCCTGTTATTCACAATAGTATTGCAAAATCCCTCTTCTAAGTCCTTGTCATGTTACGTGCCTGTATGTCCTCCTAGCTTGCCTCTCAGCAATGGGAACTTACTGAAATTCCTACAGTTACCCTCATTAAAAATCAGCAGGCTTCTTCTGACTTTTTACCACGGGTAGGCGAGGATTTCATGAGGTTCTGTCCCCTGATGTTGATCCCTGAGCTCTTCTCATCTGTTGAACTGTTTACATGCATGCATGTAAATGAAGAGTTGGATAGTTGGCTTGCAGAGACGTCCTTATGCTTGCCTGGTGTTGAAGCATAGATGCATCTTAT